ATAGTTTTATCATTTTCTTTTTTTATGATTGATATGGACCGTCCGTATCAATCACAAAAAAGGAAAGAATAAAAAAAATCTTCTTGAAAATGTGAGGCTGATAAAATAGTGTTGTCATGTCTATACACATCAAAAAAAATACAAAAGTACAAAATTTAATATTATTCATATAAAAAGAGGGTTTTACTTGTTAATAATCATACTAAAAGTTATTCCCAGGATACGAGAAATGGCTTTAAGGGCCTAGTAGAATTCATTTTTTTTCAGCTATGGGAGGGGGAACTCCCCTTCCTCTAGCGCTATGCTCCTCGTACGCTCGACCTCCGGTAAGCATACAAATGATTGCTACGCTACTGAGAGGTATACTTAATCAACTTAGTCGTCTCCAAAGTTGGCTTGCTAAATAAATCAAAAGCTGAAATGTCAGTTACCGGCTGAACATAGGTAGAACCTGCTGTTTTAAAATGACAATATGATAATGTCACAATCACATGAAGATGAAGTTCCGTTTCAGATTTTTTTTTAACTCAACCGTTTTGTTTATGGTCAAGATTTGCAACATTATTACTCCCAAACTAGAGTTCATTAAGTGTGGTCCTGTAAGACACACGTATCTTAAAATGAAAGCTTCACATGGGAAACGTGGGTCTTACATATGGAGAGGCGGGAGTTTGATATAATCCAGTGAATAATAACTTCTGTCAAAATAACCTACCCTAAGATGTTTTGATAACCACTATATAATGAGGTGCAAGTCTTCCAGAAACACCCTGCTGTGTAGACATCATCGACTTTGTTAGTGTGTTAACAGCTTTAATTAGGCGGTCTAACCCAGGGACACCGTCCCTCATGAGCTGATCAATCTCGACTGGATGATTAGCGCGTCAAGTACTTAAAACTACGCATCTTTCCAAAGTCTGCGAGACGTGTTTGTTTACCTAGAACGTATTTAATTAAGCACAGTCGTGATAATGCATATAACATGATTTTTTTTTAACAATTATAAAACCATTTTTTTCAACATATCATTCTTGTTTGCCGAGATAGAACCGCACAGGGGAACTGAATGTGGGAGGAATACCGAGTACCCAAAGAAAACTCACTTAACCCGAAAGGTTACCAAATACGTTTTAGTAAAAAGTGAGTGCTTTATCCACTGAGCCAACCGATAACATGTGAATTTTTAATGTTCATTATGTATACGCACATGCTATTCACGGGGTACATTATGTATCCGCACATGCTATTCACGGGATACATTACGTATACGCACATGCTATTCACGGGGTACATTATGTATACGCACATGCGGTTCACGGGGTACATTATGGATACGCACATGCTATTCACAAGGTGCATTATGTATACGCACACGCTATTCACGGGGTACATTTGATTATGTGTCCGCACATGCTATTAACGGGGTACATTATGTTTACACACATGCTATTCACGGTGTACATGATGTATACGGACATGCTATTCACGGTGTACATGATGTATACGGACATGCTATTCACGGTATACATTACGTATACGCGCATGCTATTCACGGGGGACATTATGTATACGCACGTGCTATTCACGGGGGACATTATGTATACGCACATTCTATTCACGGGGTACATTGTGTATACGCACATGCTTTTCACGAGGTACATTCTGTATACGCCCATGCTTTTCACGAGGTACATTCTGTATACGCCCATGCTTTTCACGAGGGACATTATGTATACGCACATGATATTCACGAGGTACATTATGAATACGCACATGCTATTCACGGGGTACATTATGTATACGCACATGCTATTCACGGGGTGCATTGTATACGCACATGCTATTCACGGGGTACATTATGTATACGCATATGCTATTCACGGGGTACATTATGGATGTATATATTTATTATGTTACTATCAAAGAAGTGTTTATACTGATATTATGTAGGCAATTAATCCGAAAAAAGGTTCAGAAGAGGCACAGCTAAGTCATGTTTTGTTATCTTGTTATTTGCCAGTATTTGTGTGTCGAACTTTTGTCCGTTTTGTCCGTTTTGTTACGTGCTGTTACAAGCATTCGGATCGTGGATGAATTTACAGGTGGAGTTATTTTGTGATTTCTGCAGGGTTATTTTTCATTACTGAGAATGTACGTTTATTTTTTATTTAGACCGCACTGAAGCATGTTGCCAGTGATTGGTTTTAATTATTTAGTGTGATATAGCATTGCAAATATTACCGTTTTGAAAATAACTTGTTCTTATTTGAAAGCCATCTTACAACATTCGTGGCCGACAAGTGCTACACAGCATGGCAACTTCTTACAGTTGGATGACATTATGCCTTGGTCGCTCTGCTGAGTATTCCATACTTAGACCTAACATAGGAAACCGGTAACCAGATTGTACGGATTACCAAATTAAAAACATTATCATTAATATTGGCGATATTACGTCGTGGTTGGCAACAGTACCCTGTGGACAGGTGGTCCTAACGACCTCTGTGAGATCAATCTGTGTCAGTAACACAATAAAGATCTATGTCCTATAGACTTTGCCGTCAGTATCGTACTGGTCACCTTCGCGACTAGGAAATTTTCGTATTCAAAATACAACATATGATTAATTAAATTGGCTATCCTATCATGCTGGTGGTGACCGTTGTACGGCTGGAAATCTCGGATTGTCGTTTTAGACCCTTGGTCATCGGCACGGTCTGGCAGATGGTCTCCAGTGATCCCGTGATTCGAAATAGGGCGGGTGTCGTCTGTTCTGGAATCTCCATACAAGCGGAAATCAATGACGAATAACGATGGCCTGATATTGCTGAGCCGCTTTATGACCAGTGAATTGTGTGTTTACAGCTTGTTATTTACATTGATATATCACCGAAGAAAATAAATAGAGGCCCACTGATTACGTATCTACATGTGTTCTCGGTGCAAGTGAATACTCTTGTGTGGAACGTGGAACTTTCTTTTGAAGTTCTACCTTTACAAACTTGATACAAACTGTTAACCGTTCCTTTATTCGTTATACTTACATTCTTAGTTTTGCTGTTTATATGGTGTGCGAAACTTTCATGTTCAACATAATAATCGTAATAATAAAACCTTTTATTATTCGTGGGTGACATAATTTAGACAAGTTTTACAATATGGCCTCGCATTTGTGCATAATGTACAACACGTTAAGAATACAAACATTTATAATAATCACAAAATCAAATATCACAGACTGTAAAAGTTATTTGAATTAAGTATCACATTATATTTCTCTCTGGCAATTCTTCTTTAAATCATCTACACTGCATGCATTTCTAACACTGCTGTTTAGTCCATTCCACAAAACAGAGCATTTATATGTAAACGATCTCTTGAAATAGTTTGTCCTGGCTAAAGGTATATACAATTTCTCTGAAGATGATTCTCTTGTAGATCTAGCTGTGACCTCATTTACATAATAAAACATATTGTGTAAAACACCTGGAATATCACAGTTTAAAACATTGTATGTCAAAACTGATCTTTTTTTACATCATTAAAGTCAGACAAAGTGTGCTGTCTATGTTTTGTTGTAGTGCTAATGTTTAAGTTTTGTGAACGAAAATCGTTTTAATGTCGTGATAAAAGCAATAAGCCTTTTATTGCTAGTTCTTTTAATTACTTTTTAATGCTAAAAATTACTTTTAGACTTAATTTAATGCTGTAAATGACTTATTTAAGTGCTGTGCAGAAATTTGGAGGGCTTTGAAAGACTTTACTTTAGTGTTTTGCTTATTTTTTGTAATATATTTTACAGTACTCATTATTTACAATAAGCAACCTGTATAACTTAAATACAGAAATGCAGTAGTCACGATTTTAAGTAAATACGAAACAAACCTAGACAATCTGTATACAATTGATTGTCATAAGCATGCTATCAACCTATAGCTGTCTATTTCGTAATCGGCACGAGTGAGATTTATGAAACGAGTCTAAGAACTTTTCGATTTAGCGAGCCCTGGTGAGCAAGTTTCATAAATTTCATATGAAATGAAACGAGTGTAAGATCCTTTTTATCACATAATCAAGATCTGTGGAATTTATTCGTGTAAAACGACAATAGCCGCCATTTCGACTCCAGTGCGTAAGTCTGTGACGTCATGTACTTGTCCTAGGCGTGACGTCACAATTGAAACAATTAAAACGTACAACCAATCACAGGGCTGATAGATCATATTATATGAGTTAATACGCAAAAAAATATGACATGGGTATATTCACTGGATAACATTATGAGCTAAATATAAATATTCCTTATCATTTAAATGTCATAACATTCTTATTGAAAATTGTCATGAATAACGAAAACATGTCATGCACATATAAATACCAAGTCAAATAGATGGTAATATTATCATTTCGAAGATTTTCCAATTCATCTTTTATGGAAAAAAATCACATCTCACAACAGTGTATGTGGGGTTTTTCCATACCGTAATTCTGTATTCTAGCTTGCATGTAAAACTTCAGATCAGTAACGGTAATAAATGGATCTCTTTTATTTATGTATCCACAATCTTGCAATCCGTAGTACTAAGAGTAATATCAACCAGCTTAGCTTCGAGGCAGGTAATGGCTGTTATTCCACACATGTATAAACTATTGACGTCCACTGCGCTGATGCATTTATCAGACAGGAATTACAGGTTAAGTCGGATACGCCCGTCAGGACTGTCACGTCACCAATGAAACACAAAGCACGTCTAGTACTATGGTAGGAAGTCCGTATAAGTCCGGAAGTTTTCTGCCAAGGTCATATATACATCCTTACCACGGCTAGTAATATTCTTGACCGACTTCATTCGGGCCTAACTGGTATGTCGTAGTTTCATGATTTTATAATTAATGGTATAAATGTACGAAACATTGCACGCAGGTTTCCGTTTTTGTTATCACTAGTTGGTTCTAGATTTATAAATATTACATTACCAGTTTTAGAATTTATGTTTTAGTGTAGCGCGTCTCTTGGAAAAATCTCTGTGATCAGTCAGCTGGGTTGTTTCTGCTTGTGGAATGTGGATAAGTTTTATGGTTTTTGGGATCTGGTCAGTGGAGTGATTTGCATGTCAGGTAATGTCTTTATTTTTAAACATATTTGAACGTAAGGATGTTGTAAAATGCTTTTTCCTATAAGCTGGTGGAATACGTTAACATGTGATTACTATTGAAAAGTAAACATACGTCTATCAATTATAGAAGTGAAAGGTGTCTGCATTGTACATCGCTCTCCTAAGTACTAACGACATCAATGTAAGAGGTCGGTGCAACAGCGGATCAGTTGTGAAAGACGAGTTGAACGATATTTTTTGTTTCAACCCTCAACAAACGGTGCTCTTTTTCTAATAATAAATATTGTTGTTCTTTCATTCCCTTATCTTTTTGCGCAATTGAAGTGTCATTATGTAAAAATAGCCGACTTGTTCCCATTCTACCAACACCTGTGCATTGGAATATTTATGTGAGCTAAGACCAGTTAAATGCCTGTTTCCATTATGATGCATAACCAGTCTTGCACTGCAAGAATATCTGCGTTTAAGTTTGAAACCATTGTTAAATTATTTGCAATGTGACGTGCTCATCATGGTTTAGTTTAATATTAAGATACTTTCCTGACAGAATAACAGAATTAGATAACATATGTTTAACAGCCTTGTAGTTAAGTCTAAAATAAATCCCTTTTACCACGTGCATACATCTTTTAACATTATATTTTGTTCAAGTGTGATTGTTGTATGTTATAAGGTGAGTGTTGAGTAAAGTTGGCACGACCCCACTACAGTCACACGAATTGGCAGCATTTCCACGACTGTTGTGAAATAGTGCCACACACCGCGGGTTACTGGGTTCGAACCTGTTGAGGCGTCGATTTGTCAAGGAGCGCTGCCTGTAACTTATTGGCTGGTGGATGTCGTTGCATACGTGAATGAATAACACAGACTTGGTGTATTACACAATGATGTTATTAGCAGAAAGCACTTGCATTACACACGCTGATTAAACATTGAGTCATCGTTATCTCACTACCGGTACGCCCAAGGCATGGCCTTGTATATATAACGTAACTTATATCAAAATACGTTATCTCCTCTATATGCGCATGCTTTTTGCAAAAATGTTTTGATATTGTCCGCACATAAACAGACAAGTAAGTTTATCTCTTCTCTATGAATATAGACTTGCAACTAAAACTATGGTAAATATATCCAAGTATGGGATCCGTCCTGAGGAACTGGGAGTATACTAATAGGTACTGGGACTAACACTGTTCCTCGTTACTAACGTCGTAGTTAAGGATGTACCGTGGAGAATAATGTAAGGTTGTTAATGGTTAAAAGTGACAAACATAATCTGACAGTATTGTTTATTGTTTTTAGATGGCCATCCTAGACCTCCTTCGCCATGAATCAATTCATCGTTGCTAAATAACCAGAGACATAACGCGATCAGATCCGTAGTGCTTCTCTTACGAACGCACCGACATCCAGTATGGCGGATGAGCTGACGTCGGACTCCCCCGGATACACCAGTGTTGATACCACCACGTTATTGACAACACAACTGATGGCACTTGCTTCCACTACGACATATATGAATATTTCGAACAATTCCGGACAGGCTATGGCACCGGAAGTAATCATACGCATGCTCAGTATACATCAGTTCGAACGTCTGGTTCCCGCAATCATTTACACTGCTCTCCTGATGGCGATAGGCACACCGGGTAACGCGATCGTGTGGTTTATCTATTATTCAAGATGGCGACGCAGCTCTACGAGGATATTTATCCTGGCATTAGCCACACTTGATCTCATAAACTGCACGTTAACACTTCCGGTTGAAATCTTCATGTTATTTAACTACATTATATTTGACCACAGCTTCGTCTGTAAGTTGTCACGTTTTACTACATACACGTGCAATAGCGCGGCAGCTCTCATTCTCATAGCCATAGCAGTGGATAGATATCAGAGAATATGTAGGCCTCATGAGAACGCAATTTCTACCAGGACTTCAAAACTCGTATGCTGGCTTTCCATAATTTTGGCTCTGATGACAACATGGCCGTCTCTTGTGATCTACGGGACGCAGGACTACCCTGCTCACGGCGTGGTGTTGAAAGTGTGTTTGATCGAGAATGCCTTTGTGACCAGTCCTTATCCTTTGGCCTACTTCACCTTTAACTGTATCTGCACGCTCATCAACTTCATCACTCTCACTGTGCTCTATATATTTGTCGGAGTGCGCGTGTGTCAACGCTGGAAGTTCAGGTCCACTTCCGTTCGCTCGTTTTCCTCCGTTTCTATGGATGATGACGACGACTATCCAACAGAGAGGCATTCATTGAAGAAGCAAAGTAAGCGAAGCGCGAGCACAGAACCACCTCCAAGCCCGCGAGCTGCCATCAAGATGGCGTTCTTAGACCTCAAATCCACCTTCAAACGTACAAAAAGTACTGTATCTGACAGGAGAGTGTTACGAATAGGTAAAACGACGTTGATGCTCTTTCTGGTCACCCTAGCATATATCATCAGTTTTTTACCGTTTCTTGGCATCGCCATTCACCGGTCTATTAACCCCTCGGCCTGGACGGCACAACAAAAAACTAACGAGATGGTGTATCACGTATTCCTCAGGTCATATCTCCTGAACTGTGCAATCAACCCCATCATATACTCTTTCTGCAATGACATCTTCAGAAGGGAATGCGTCATACTCTTTAAGAGAATATTCTGTTGCAGAAAGACGCATTAGATCGAACAAACGATATATTGTGGTTAAAATACACGTGTTGTTTTTCTGAAACAGCAAACAACGATCCTTACTAACATTTATTTGTATATACATTTCAAAGAGCGGTAAACAATGCAGAGTCATTGTAAGATAATGGCAATGCAATACCAAATATCCACTGTTGCATTAATTTCACACTGATGTTTCCATATAAAAATTTAGTTTATCTCTAAAGAGTTTACCGCTTAACTATCTGAAACAACTTTTTACTTTCCTTGTGCATGTTCTTTAAACTTTGTATCATTATAATTATGTAAAAAAAAAAAGCATACATGTACATTTATAAAAACGTATAATAGCTTCATAATGTATACAATTTCACTTACTATAGAACATTCGAAGGGGTTATGGACAAATACGTGAATATGTCTTCACAGGGAATCAGGATAATGATAATATTTGAGGATTGAAATGCATTTGTTTACATCTGTTCCCATTTGTTTACATCTGTTCCCATTTGTTTACATCTGTTCCCATTTGTTTACATCTGTTCCCATTTGTTTACATCTGTTCCCATAGGATGAGCAGTAGCATATTATTTATATTCAAAACATTGTGTGTTTCATTTTTTTTTCAAAATTCACTCCTTTTTTACATAAATTTCCATTTAAAATCCTTAAAATTCTGACAACCTATTTTTTTTTTTTTTTTGCGGCAGGAAATTTTCTTTACTTCAAAGCAATACAACTTCAAAATTTGAAGAAATTCTACTGAGAAATGGCGACACAATCCTATTACCTTAAATTAGAGGATATATTACGGAAATGCAAATACTAAGTAATGTATGTTTTAAAATAAATGTTGTTGTCCTGAAACGCACACTGATATTGCTGACAAACTTATAACGCCCGCCATGGATTATCGTTAATTTATCAGCAATAACAATGTGTGTAATATGCCCATAGAATCATTAGTAAAAAAAAACTACCATGCTTAATATTTCCATTTTAATAGTGTAATTATGATTTATTGAATTGTACCACTAAACGTTGCTCAGTGAAGTTAAAAATCAGTAGTTACAATCAGATCAGTGACGTCACTATAGTGATCACTTGCAAAATGAAGTTAAGATTTCATAAATATTGCGGTCTCTATGCATTGCAATAGGAGGACGCAAAAGAGATGTAAATATAAACATGCCATCAAAGCCGGACTCTATTTTAATAATTCAGGTTTTCCTTTTAATTATAATATACAGATCAGGGAAAGTAACCTGATCAAGTTTTACACTGTTTGACCTTGACCTATATAGACTTAAAATATGATTGTATATCAAAACAAAATTAAATTGGTCATCATAAAGATTTCATACAATTTGCAGATAATAAAGTCTGTCAATATTCATTATGTGGTACTGCAGTTTCAATCATACGACTAGATACATCACATTTCAGTACACACGACGTAATCTTACTAACCGAATGGGAATTACCTTTACCTATCACCATTACCTACAACTCTGTCACCACTACCTACCACTCTGTCACCACTACCTACCACTCTGTCACCAATACATACCACTCTGTCACCATAACCTACCACTCTGTCACCAATACATACCACTCTGTCAACACTACCTATCACTCTGTCACCACTACCTACCACTTTGTCACCAAAACATACCACTCTATCAACCTAACTACCACTCTGTTATCATAACCTACCACTCTGTCAACAAAACCTACCACTCTGTTAACATTACCTACCACTCTGTCAACATTCCCTACCACTCTGTCAACATTACCTACCACCAAGTCCCCACTACCTACCACTCTGTCACCATAACCTACCACTCTGTCACCACTATCTACCACTCTGTCAACATTACCTACCACTGTCACCACTACCTACCACTCTGTCACCATTACCTACCACTCTGTCACCATAACCTACCACTCTGTCACCATACCCTACCACTCTGTCACCACTATCTACCCCTCTGTCAACATTACCTACCACTGTCACCATTCCCTACCACTCTGTCACCCTTCCCTACCACTCTGTCACCACTACCTACCCCTCTGTCACCACTACCTACCACTCTGTCACCAATACATACCACTTTGTCACCAAAATATACCACTCTATCAACCTAACCTACCACTCTGTTATCATAACCTACCACTCTGTCAACACAACCTACCACTCTGTCACCATTATCTACCACTCTGTCAACATTACCTACCACTGTCAGCACTACCTACCACTCTGTCACCACTACCTACCACTCTGTCACTATAACCTATAACTCTGTCACCATAACCTACCACTCTGTAAACACAACCTACCACTCTGTCACCACTACCTACCACTCTGTAACCACTACCTACCACTCTGTCAACACAACCTACCACTCTGTCACTATTATCTACCACTCTGTCAACATTACCTACCGCTGTCAGCACTACCTACCACTCTGTCACCACTACCTAACACTCTGTCACCATAACCTATAACTCTGTCACCACTACTTACCCCTCTGTCACCACTACCTACCACTCTGTAAGCACTACCTACCACTCTGGCAACACAACCTACCACTCTGTCACTATTATCTACCACTCTGTCAACATTCCCTACCACTGTCACCACTACCTACCCCTCTGTCACCACTACCTACCCCTCTGTCAACATAACCTACCACTCTGTCACTATAACCTACCACTCTGTCAACACTGCCTACCACTCTGTCAACATTACCTACCACTCTGTCACCACTACCTACCACTCTGTCACCATAACCTACCACTCTGTCACTACTACCTACCACTCTTTCAACATTACCTACCACTCTGTCACCACTACCTACCACTCTGTGACCATAACCTACCACTCTGTCACCACTACATACCACTCTGTCACCATAACCTACCACTCTGTCACCACTACCTACCACTCTGTCACCATTCCCTCCCTCTCTGTCCCCACTACCTCCCACTCGGTCACCATTCCCTCCCCCTCTGTCAACATACCCTACCACTCTGTCAACATTACCTACCACTCTGTCACCACTACCTACCACTCTATCACCATAACCTACCACTCTGTCAACATTACCTACCACTCTGTCACCACTCCCTACCACTCTGTCACCATTCCCTACCACTCTGTCACCATAACCTACCACTCTGTCACCACTACATACCACTCTGTCACCATAACCTACCACTCTGTCACAACTGCCTACCACTCTGTCACCACTACCTACCCCTCTGTCACCATTACCTACCCCTCTGTCACCCCTACCTACCACTCTGTCACCATAACCTACCACTCTGTCACCACTACATACCACTCTGTCACCATAACCTACCACTCTGTCACAACTGCCTACCACTCTGTCACCACTACCTACCACTCTGTCCCCATTACCTACCACTCTGTCAACATTCCCTACCACTCTGTCCCCACTCCCTACCACTCTGTCACCATTACCTACCACTCTGTCACCATAACCTACCTTGTTTTCTTTTTATAAGACCGACTCTTCTCGACTGTTATAATAGAGGAGGTTGTCATTGTGTTCTGGAGCTTTTGTTGTATCAATCAGTGTCTTTAATGTTTAAAAACACGACAAGTATCAGACCTGTGGTGTAAGTGTAACCTGAGCAAAATATAACGCTCCCTTATTCCCATGGAAAGTTTATGATCATAGGCAATGAGAGAACGGAAACAACACTGATATCACCATTCCTTAACAAACAAAAAACTGTCAATGTAATTGAGAACCAATACTTCACATTTCTTCGCCGTAGATACTAATGTTTTCGTCAGATCAAATCAAATTGTTCCATTCAGGGAAGCTCCACAAGGAACAAGTAAAAAAGAAAGCTTGATAAACGTGTTGAGATAACCACACTAAGGATCAATGGCAACACTTGTGCTCGCCTTATCTTGTCCCATCCTCTCCTTCCGTAACAGTGAAACCTTACATTATAACAAACCATTTAAAGACAGGAAAATTCACACACAACAGGGGGGTTGTAAACGGATGCTGATGGGCTTTAACGAAGAAAGCACAATTACCTCAGAATCTTTTACAGTACACAAATCATGTCTGACCGAGTGCACACACCTTACTCTTTAAACTATTCTATAAATCATCGCTCGATAACATACATGTCTCAACCTCAATAACAGTATTATTGAGAAATAAATGGCATGCCTTTCTATATATATGTACTTGGACCCAATAAAGAGGTAGAAACGGACAATAAGTTGAAAAAAGACTATCCAAAGGAGGCACAGAAACAAAAACAGAAGACAGAGTCTGTACGAAAAGACAACAACAGGACCCGAGGAGAAACATTAACAAAAGGAATACATCATGAACCCTCACAAATTACCAGGGCCCCAGAACGTTTGAATTGTATACAATCATGTTACCCAGTAACCAAATGATCGCATGCCTGGTTATTTATGCTTTATTGATATGGTGAATTCTTCTGTAGTGATGCATAACATCGTAGACTAGTATGGGAGCTGAAGCCCGCAGATGTCGTTCTACCATGTAATACAGCAATATGTCATGACGACATCATACATCATTCTGCAGGTCACTAAAATAATCACAAGAAAAAACCCAGAAAACCTCTATTCTACTGTTCCATGTGACAATAGTAAATATTGTACTGCTCCATGTGACAATAGTAAATATTGTACTCCATGTGACAATAGCTAAAATTGTACTGCTCCATGTGACAATAGTAAATATTGTACTGCTCCATGTGACAATGTCGTCCATTTAGAACTCATCGTTGGAACTATACGGATCAAAAATGAGGAAACAAAGTGTCTTAAGTGTTCTAAAATATATATAGAATAAAACTAAAAGTGGGTGGTGTCCAAACACAAAAACCTGTATAACGTGACAAATTGTTTATACTTAAACTATTATTTCATGCCAGAATAAATTACAGATACAAGGCTACGGCAGAGGCGACCACCATATTTTGTCAGCAAAGAATCCCTACACATACGAAGAAATGATGCGCATATCTTAACATTTTGTTTGTTAATGCTAAAAGATAGTTAAAGAAATAATTTCACGGCACCATAATTATGTTCATTTCGTCCATTTAGGACCCATCATTCGCATCACCGTTTTAGGAGGCACGATAGTCTAGTGGTAGAACGCCGGGCTATAGGAGGCACGATAGTCTAGTGGTAGAACGCCGGGCTTTAGGAGGCACGATAGTCTACTGGTAGAACGCCGGGCTACAGGAGGCACGATAGTCAAGTGGTAGAACGCCGGGCTACAGGAGGCACGATAGTCAAGTGGTGGAACGCCGGGCTAAAGGAGGCACGATAGTCTAGTGGTAGAACGCCGGGCTACAGGAGGCACGATAGTCAAGTGGTAGAACGCCGGGCTAAAGGAGGCACGATAGTCTAGTGGTAGAACACCGGGCTTTAGGAGGTACGATAGTCTACTGGTAGAAC